ATAAAATAAAAGGTAAAATTTTCTCTAACAAGTTAGAAAATTTGTTTAAATTGAAACGATTTAATCGCACAAACTCGTTTAAGTTTTTCCACTCAGCAATTTAATTTGTAAAACTGAAAAACTCGCTGTTGGTATTGTCTTGGATTAACTGTCTAACTATTGTATTTACTAAATGATCAACTGCAGTCAGGATATGCAGCTGTTCTATTAATAACTCTGAAGTAACTTCAACTACTTAAAGTCAAAAAACTTGACTTCAAATTAGCCGAGTTCCCTATCTGTCTGAACTATTAAATTAAGTTAATTATGAGTGATAAATTCATGCGTTCTAAAAACACGAACAATGGAATTTTTCATAAAGAGATAAATGAATTACGTCACTTTCCATAGACTTCTAAATCTTTCAGTAGCAATCAAAAACATTCAGCGTATTTCAATTGTAGCTACGCGATTTTATATGATGCAAATTAAACGCAGAAAGTAGAAATTTATCTCTAGACGGTTGGAATATTGGAAACCATATGTATAAATGTAAAATTGCGTTACTCGATTTATTGAATTTCCATTGAATCACCCGCGTATGATATTGCATAATTAATTTTACTACACATGACATATGCTCCTATTAATTTTGTATTAACAATTCAGAAAAACGTATCATGATTTATGATGTAAATTATTTATTACGAATTCATTTGATGTTTTCAACATATGGAAATTTCGGAAATAATAAAAAAAAAACAATTATAATTTAATATTATCCTGTTGAGGACACGAGGAGTCAAGTGGACCCCAGGCGACTTTGAGGTAATTTTAAATTTAGAAGAAGATTTGTAAATGAGACAGTATCATTTACGACTGATTTTATTGATATTCTTCAAAATATTTCAATTTTTTTATTGTAATAATTATAATAAAAGAGTTTTGTCACAAATACATGAATGTGTGTAGAAACATTTAATTTGTATATTTTTTTTTTTAAATGGTACATGAAAAATAAATAAATATTATCAAAAATGTGATACTAAAGTTAGTTGACAACTGTCAATTTTTTTTTTTTTTAATTTTATAACAAATCAATGATAGTAAAAAATGCTTCTAAAAATTTTCACTACGAATTTTTTTTAATTCTTAATTACTTATTTTTTTTTTTATTTATCCATACAATTTTTAAATAAAAATTAACAAAAGATTAGAAGAATGAAATGTTTTGATTTTATAATGATGAGGTTTGAGGTTGGTTGTTCATATTTTATGACAAATAAATAAGTATTTACTTATCAATAAATTGATTTTTGTACCACTTTTATGTGGTCCGGATAAATATGTTTTGTCCGGTAAGAGGGCGTTGTAAGAGAAATGTAGTTGGCGATTCTAGCTATCTAACAGATCGCTCCAGTAGCCATACCGTATTGCTGCTGTAGGAATGCATAATGCTACAGTAACTTTCTACGAGTAGGTATCTAATAGATGGCTCCAGTAACAATATTTTTTTTTCCGTGTAGAGCCTAGTCAATACCCAATAAATCAAATTAATTAATTAAGATTAAAGTACCTTTCAATGTTTCTACATTCGATAATTTAATAAGTCAAAACATCAGATGTTAATTTAGAAATTATCTAATAATTAAATTACTCAATAGATAATTAGTTTGATTCGAGCGAGTCATTGAATTTTTCTTAACTCCTCATTCACTTTCGCTAATATATATCACAATCAAGGTGAACGAAATTATACAACAATTCATAAGTAGATATTAACAAAAATAACACTTCAAATATATTTTCTCCCCTCCGTGCGGAAAGCGTCAATTTTCTGCTCGCTGCGCTAAACGAAAATGCCGCTTTCCGCCTCCGTCGAGGAGAAAAATAGTATTCTCACCACGGGCAGGAAATAAGAAAGCCTCAGATCACATGTTTGTCGACCTCGGCTTCGCCTCGGTCAACAATTACATGTAATCTGAGACATTTCTTATTTTCCTGCCCCAGGTAAGAAAAATACTATTCTTATTCTCTTAATAATGTAGATTATTATTATTATTTATGGCTTAAAAAATATAAAAATCAATAAATTAATTAGCCTAAAACAATTTCCACAAAAATGATACTTTTTACGTGATTAAATCCCCCAAAACACATGCAAGTAATATTGATTTATTAATTAATGAAAATATCCATTGATTTATGTACTGAAATAATTACATTAATTAATATAATCCAATCCCTCCGTTTGGGGTAGATAATTGAATTATATTAACGTGAAATGATATTGAGTACACAATTTTAAATTAAAATTAAATAATGATTATGATTGTATAATATAAAACGCCCTGCGGGCAATGACTTTGATTGAATGTCACTAATAAACAGAATAATCAATACATATCCTACTGATTAAATTTATTCCATTAAATAAAACAAAAGTAAATTAAATTAAACTTTAAAATGACAATAATTTTAACTTAAAAGTTTTTCATCTTGGAGATTTAGAGTAATTTAAAATTTAATTGAACCGAGCGATGATCCTTCAGCAAATTGCTTTGTTATTTTTCCATTTAAATTCTATATTTAAAAGTTACTGTCAATAATTATTTTATTTTCATTTTTCCGATATGTATTTTTTTTAATTAAAAAAAATCCACCTCTAATTATTTTTATGTACAATTGATTAAATTTAAATAATTGATCAAATAGACTAAATAAAATATTATTTTTTCCCTATCATTTATTCATTCATTCATTCTTTCATTAATTAATCCACATATTGTATCGTAGTTTTCTACAAAATAAATATATAAAACGAATCTTTGCCTCGTTACGCGCTCTTTCAAGTTACATCGTTCGGAACGCTCTAATGACGTTAATTTAACTTTATTTTTTCACCATTTACTTTTATTTTTACTTTTATGTCAAAAAAAAAATCTCTGCATAAAAAAATATTTCATTTTATTTATAAATTCATAAAAAAAAAAAAAAATAAAAGTGACAAGATTTTGGAGTTTGAGTTTACTGTGATGGCGTTGAGTGAAATACCATGTCAGTGGCATGTATCTCAGCAAAGTAATACGTAAAAGTTGAATAAATCTAGTGCATAAATATGTAAACTAGAATAATGTAAAGCGAAATGAAACAAAAAGCTTCGGGACACACAAATAGCTAGCGAATAGAGCCAAGTGACATTTTGAAACTCACAAACACATTTATTCATATATTGCGAGTATCTCAACCGCAGTTCCGAGGCCACTGATCAGGTTTCAGTTGACCGTAGAGCGAACAGTAGAGACAAAAGCCCCTGGACAGTTCATCCCTGTCAAGCTTCGTCTCTCATTCACTGTTTGCTGTGGTTTCTTATTTGAAAAGCCAAAACTGACATTGACGCCTCGCACATCCTTTCTTCTTTTTTTTATTTATTTTTTTTTTCGGCAAAATATATATCGGCTGGATTTAAATTCCCGGATATGATATATCCAAAATGACAGCCTAAGTTTAAAAAAATTTTTTTAATTTGCAATATTAATTTTTTTTGATAAATTTAGTGTCATTGTAAAGGTCTGAACTTGAATTTGTGCCTTTTTAAGATTTTATAACATTCTCACCGACAGTCAATTTGTTATGATAAGTATTTAGGCTACATTCGAAAATATCTCTAGATACATAATTAAGAAATGACCTTGTATCTTGTAAACTATTGACATTTTTAAAGATATAAGCTCATCTTGATATTATACTCATCAAGACCTTTCATTTGAGTACCCACATCAATTTTTCATATATTT